AGCCTGGGATGGCGGCCTGGAGGCCAAGCCATCGCCCTCGCCCGCCAGGGACCGCGAGCGGAAGGAGACGCCTCTCTGAGCGCCCTGGTGCCTCCCAGTCCCGTTCGGAGGACCTGCGGGCTGTGGGACAGAGGCTTTGCCGGATAGTGTCAGCTTATTTGAAAATTAATTGTCTTCGTTAAAGTAACGATTTTAACTCTTGAGTGGCTTCTTTTTAAACCAAAAATTCTCTGTCTTTGCTTTTTTATCACAGCAGAATCAGGATCTCTTTCTCATCCAAGGGGGGAACCAAACCAGGTCACTGCTGCGCCTGTGGGTCGCTCACGGCACCCGCGGGGCTCTGTGGACCTAGTCACTCTTGCTTGTGCCTTCCACACCTCCTCGGTGCACACACGGCTGGTGAGGGGCCCTGCTGGGTGTCCCTGAGCCGCCCCGCCCGTCCCATCCCTCTCCCTTCTCAGCTCTCAGCCCGGAATGGGTGCTGCAGGGGCACCCACGGAGGGTGTCTGACTGCGGACCTTCGCCCACCGGCCCTCTGGGCGGGCGCCGCCAGGCTGGCAGTGCTCCTCTGCCTGGGGAGCAGGCGCGTTTCCGGTCGTCCGTGCCATCTCAGCCTCCAAGTGACCAGATGGAGCCGGGAAAAGGGCTTTGCTGATGCGTGTCATGACTCACCCACCTCTTCGGCCTTGGTCAGTCCACTCGCTCCCTGGCAGTGGCTGGGGCAGCTGGGCCGGCGTGCTGTCAGGTGAGTGGCACCGAAGACAACCCACAGGAGGGCTCTCTGCTCCTCCTAATTAGTATTTATTTTCAGCACCTGTTTGATGCGGTTTTTTATCCTACCTATTGCACTGTTGTGACTTGTTGGCCATTTGATTTTTGTATGAAAGAAAGCTTTGTTATAGAAATCAGCATATTATTTTTTTAAATCTGGAGAGAAGATATTATGGTGACTGAAAATATGGTCAGGTGTCGAATATAAATGCATAAACGCCTTTCAGACCTATTTTACTCATTTTATATTTCTTGGCAATGTTGAAAGTTTCTTTTTCGTTTGTGTAAACTCCTATGTCTATCAAGGTGTCATGGGTTTTTTAAATTAGTATTTCATTACACATGTCTGATTGGTTAACTAATTTTTTTTGCCAGAACTATTATTGATAAAGCAAATAAATTCAACAGCCATTTGGGAAAAAAGTGCTCTAGTATTTCTGTATACGTTTGATTCTTCAGAATAACTGTGTGCCCTTGGCTAGGATGGAGTTGGCGCCGGTACTTACAGGGCTTTGTTCTTCTCTTGTTCCTCACAGCCACCAGGCCTGAGCAGCAGCTGGCTCCACTCTTCCTCACCTGTCCTCGCTGGCTGGGCTGGGGCTGGGGCTGCAGTCCTCGCCTTGGCGGCTTCCTGGCCCCTGTGAGTGAGCTCTGCCTCTGCCAGCCCCGAGTGGCTGTGGGGTTTCTGGGATGGCTGATCTGGAATAACTTGCTAATTCCTCATTTGCTTCTTTGCCTTTAAACATCCCACACATTATCTGTCAAAGTGTAGACAGCTGGCTGCTGCTCCATCTTAGAGCCTGGTGAGTTCTGGTGTACACAAGGTCCCAGGGACCTCGAGGTAATGGCGTGGAGGACTGGGGTGAGCTTCCATGAGGGCCCTAGTGCTTGCATGCACTTCTCCCTGCAACCGTTTTGCTAAAAGTTTATTTAATGTTCATTGAGTCGTCACTTCCCTGCGTACAGTAAGTTCTATATCCAGCCAGTGAGTTACTGTTATCTTTAGCACTGAACTAAGCAAATCAGGGTGAAATACTCTTATGGTAAAATTACTGATGAAATTTGATAGAAGAGACAAGTCTTTGTAGAAATAAGCTCACCAGTGCTCTAAAGGAACACGTAGCTAGAAACCTGGTGGCTGAATTTGTGTAAGTTTTCTAGCACAGGTTTTGTGTGTGCAGCACTGGGGAGGGAAGACGGGTGTGACCCCAGCCGCAGGCTCCAGTACTGAGTTGCACCTTGGCCCCAAGACTTGAGGAAATGTATTTCTGCAAGACAGTTAAAACTAATTCCATATAGGAAGTGGGCAGAGGAATTAAAGTGGATTAACAGAGATCACTGTAGAAAATACGTTTCATGAAAGTTGTGGCTGGAGTGTCTGTTTTGTTTTGGTACCGGGGATTGAACTTGGGTCCTTGTGCTTTCGAGGCAGGTGGCTGCACCACTGAGCTAAATCCCTGGCCCCATGGAGTGTCTGTTTATAGTTGAATGTGCTCAAGGCCAAAGCCTGTGCTGGTTAAGACAGGAAATCAGTGCTCCTGGCAGAAGGGTTTGACAGTGGCCTCCTGGGACCCCAACACACAGGAGGGAAGGGCACCCAGACCTCCTGTCTCCAGCGAGGGGCTGAGAACTGAGCTGCAGTCTTACTTTTTCACATTTATTTCCAGATCCAGTTTCTCTGGCTTGAGCCAGGACTTAAGGAGGCTACTGCTCCGCTGAGTTGCTCAGAGCTTCCCCTCCTGGCTCACTGCTCATCCCACCACAGTGCCTTGGGCAGCCACTGCCTTGCCTCGCCTTCCCCGAAGATGTCCACGGTGGAGGTGACACAGGAGGCCGCAGGCACAGATGGCTGGCTGGCTTTGGAGGGTTCCAGAGAAATGCAGGGCAAGGGGGGCTCATATCCTGAGCCAGCTCTCTACCCATTCTGGAAGTCTGGGGTCGGGATAGGCAGGAGACACCGCTTGGGCTTCCCAGAGTCAGAAGCTGCAGGCAGGGTGGCAGTGATCCACGGAGCGGCACCTAGACGCGGGACCGGCCAGGTGGGTCAGGGCACTGTGTCTTTCGGCGGGGGAGGCTGGGGTTGGAGGTGACCAAGCACGGTGGACGGACACCTTCAGCTGCTCACAAGCCCCGAGTCTTCCAGCTGTGGCCACCTGTCTTGCACAGAGAAGTATTCACTCCCACTGGGTGTGACTTGTGTGTAGTCTGTCACCATAGCAACGTGTAAACCTGTTTTGTTCAGATTTATGTTGTGAAATGGGAGCATTAACCAGCTTGCTGTTTTCACCCTGCTTTGCAAGTCTGTTTTCTCCCTCAGCAGATCTGTGCCACACAAGAGTCCCAGACAGGCGAGTCCCATGCCACACACTCGCCCTGTGCCTGGCTCCCGGCCAATCCAGCTTCGCCTTTTTTTGGCTGCAAGGGAGGAGCTGGAGTTGCTCAGGAGCTGGGGTGCACCTTTCTTCTAGTGTGGATTTCGTGAGATCTTATTTGCTGGGGTGGTGGCTTTGTCCTTACGGGTAGGGTCCAGGGGTAGCCCGGAGCTGCCCAGCGGGCATCGGGTATAGCAGCGTAGGATTCTGTGTCATCTCCAGAACTGAGATGGGGGTTCTAAGGTAGCACTGGCAGGGAATCTGCATCTGGGGAATAAAGCAGCCACCCCTGGTCGTCAGCCTGGAGGCACCTGTGTGCTTCTGAGCCAGGGGTGTCTGTTCACACTCATTCCCGGGACACAGGTATCCAGATATAGTCCACAGGAAGCAGCCCACACCTTTCCAGAGTAAAACCCAACTCACCTGGCACTGGGAACAGCTCAAGTTGCCACACACACAGTCACACACAGTGCCCTCTCGTCTGTCTGCTCTTACTAATGGCTGCTTTTCAGATGAGGGAAACCCCAAGGCAGAGGCTGATGCTTCAGGGAGCAGGGGACGCACTCCAGAGCCACGCTGACCTGGACATGGGCAAGTCCAGGGACTGCCACACCAGGTGAGACACTTCACTAAATCAGGACTACAGGTCACAAATTGCATTTATTCACAGACATGTAGAAAACAAATATGTATCTATAGATTTCAATAAATTTTATTTGGACAAGAGAACTTGTGCCACGACCATTCGACAGCATGATTCAGGACTGCAGCACTCCTGAGTGGCCACACAGACGCACAGCGTGGAAGAAAGTCGCCCCTCAGAGCTGACCATGATCCAGTCCACAACACCGACGGACACACGCTGAGAAATTTCTTCCGGTCATGACCAGCATGAAAAAATTCAGGACAGAGATACTGAGCAAACATTCTGCAAATGTGCACAGCAATATGCTGCATTTAAGAGTTAAAATCTGATTCTACTTTAGTGTTAGCATCAAGCCCTGGGGAGAAATCCACACAAATCTCTTGGTTTCTACCGGTGCGGAACTATCCCGAGGCTGTGCCAGGCAGTGGGCTACTGAAGGCCTTTCCAGTCTGTCTGGTGTGCGTCGCCTCTGGCTGCAAGAATTCATTCATCCACTGTTAAACCCAGGAGAGAGCAATACAGGTCTCGAGTCTTATCCCGCCCAAGAGGAAAACACTGTGCTCAAGTGTCAGTCTGCCAGGAAGACAGGAGAGTTAAGGCTTTGGTGACGTGAGAATCCACTGAGAAATGATGTTCCCTTCAGGCGAGGTAAGATAGTGTGACCGTGACCTCGTGGGGCAAGCAGGCCCAAGGTGGCCCAACTGCGCTGCCACATGGGAGCGGGCCGAGGCTGGGGCTGACTAGTACGTGGAGGAGGCTGTGCTCATGGCGTCTTCAGAGATCTTGGTGCTGGCAGGGTGGATGCTGGCGAAGTACTTGACGTCACTGTCGCGGTCCATCTGCAGGGCCATGATAGTCTGCTCCACAGCCTCCTGGTGGCAGCTGGCAGAGGCGAGGAAATACTCTGGCAACGACACGAGAGCACGTGTCAAGGCAAGTGTAACAAGTATTTAGTCACTACTGTCAGGGGCCATGGCCTCAAACCATCACTGACCTGACCTGCCAGAGGAAGAAGCCCTGCACAGACTGGTCTGTTTTCATGACAAGAAATCTCAAGACATTCAGAGGGAGCTAAGGAACACTCAGCTCATCGGTGAATTAAAACATTAGGCCTCTTAGCCATCAGCCGGCTTAGCAAAGGAAAAACGCTTGCAGACATCGGCTGTGTGCACTCTTCCTAAGACCGAAGCAGCCTTCGCAGCTCTCTGGAAGACTCACAAAGGGCAAGGAGAAAAGCAGCAGTCCTCGTCTGTGTGCTCTGAAGTTCATGACTGCCTTCTGTGCCGCCCTCCAGAGTTCCTGCATCGATCGTCATGAACTCTGTGTGGGGCATTGGGGGGGGGCGTGACTCCTGCTGAGGGGAGGGAGGCAGCTGCTGTGGCCCGGGGTCGGTGCCGAGACAAGCTGTGAGCTAGAAAGATGCTGGTGCCAGGCTAAGGGCCCCCTCCCCTGGCAGGAGCAGCGACGGCCTCAGCGCCCCACTAACACGCGGTGTGCTCAGAGCGCAGCGAGCCCATGAGCTGGCAGCTGGCCGTTCCGCTTCATCTTCGGCCTCCCGGTCTCTGCCTACCTTTCTCCAGGAGCGTCTGCCTCAGAGTCTTGGCGAGCAGCACTCTGACGTTCGGAACCCTGTCGTTGGCCAGCATGAGCAGGTGTGGCATGAGGTGCACAGCAAACTGGTCCATGGGGAGGCAGTCGTCCTCGATGACAGTCTAGTGCAGAGAACCGAGGGCATCAGCACCCGCCGGCGCAGCCTCTAGGGGGCCGCTGTCTACCCAGTGTCCCAGGTGCTTGGGGACTGGACCAAAAATGCCATCATCGGGAGGGGAATGGTGGCCAGTGGGCAGTGACACACAGGTCGGCAGACAGAATGCGTGTCGGTGCCCAGCAGTCGGGTGACGGCTGTGGGTCGACCGAAATGCTGACGAGAAAGACTGACTTCTCAGCTCAGACATGATAGTGCTCGTGCTCGTGCTCGTGCTGGCGGAACACCCCAGTGTACACAGGCACCGGGACAGCACACGGCACCCTGTAAATGTGGACAGGATCTCTGTGTCAATTAAAAATGAATTTTAAAAAATACACATTTTGAAAAAGGATGCTTCCCTGCCCAGACAGTTTTAAAGCTATTCTTTAGAGAGTGCCTGGTGCTGCTGAGGGGCGCGGTTCTGGGACGCATACTACGGGACACTGCTGCCCACTGTAGACGGGTACAGGCGGGATGTGCTCGGCTGGGGCCGGGGCGGGCAGCAGCTCAGAGGCCTCACCTGGCACACAAAGACGAAGGCCTGGCGGCCCAACCACCGGGGGCACCTGCCGAAGTTCTCCACCAGTTCCCGGATGAGATCTGCGCCAAAGGTTGGGGGTGAGGCTGCATGCAGCTTCTTCACCATCTCGCTGACCTGCAGGGAGCACAGAGAGGGAGGAGCACAGGCCTGGGACTTCCATGTGGTGCTGTCAGACACGGGAGACGCGGCGCCTACGTACCAGCTTGTAGGAGATCCAGCGGACGGAGGACACCTTGTCTGCACACAGGTTCAGAGCGATGGGGCGCAGATAGTCATAAACGTCTCTGGGGCTGTACAGCTCCAGAAGTAAGATCAGCTGTCTACAAAGACAGTGAAAACAACTACAGCTGCGTGCAGGCTAATGTCTAAATGCCCTGTGACACCTGATGGTAACGGTGAGGAGGCAGCCAGGCAGGCCTGCTGCACAGCAAACAAACTCCTGAGTCTCCTCCTCCCTGCAGTGCCAGGACACTAGCTCTTGGGTTTTTCCCCAGTAACGGACTTAACCTAAAGCCATCTCCTGCATGCTGGGCAAGAGCTCTTCTCTTAAATTGCACCCGCAGCCCTTTTGTGAGAGGAGGTCTCCCTGGATGGTCTAGGCAGCCTCAAACTTGTGATCCTCCCACCTTAGCCTCGTGAGCAGCTGGGATTTCAGGGGTTCATCACTGTGCGTGGTGAATGCTACAAGACTGTGGGTTCATCTTGCCACGGTGTGGATGTTGTGCGCCCCCAGGCTCACACGTTGGAAGCCTGGTCCCCAGTGTGATTTGTCCTGCGGGGAGGTGGGACCTCCCAGACAGAGCAAGCAGGACAGAAGGCCATCGGTCACAGGCACCACCCAGGGTAAGGGGCGGGTGCCGTCTCGCAGGAAGGTGTAGGAAGGCCAGTTCCATTCTGCCTCTTCACAGTGCCATGGGCCAGACAGCCCCCTTCTCTTATACGTTATTGTCACAGGCGTTTTTGTTTTTGGTACTAGGAATTGAACTCAAGACCTTGTGCTTGTGGGGCAGGCTCATTGTCACTGTGCTAAAATCCCTGGCCCACGGGTGATTTGTCAGTGACGAGAAACATACACAGGGCTAAATGGAAAACAGTGCACGTTTTCAGTCCTGGCCTGGGACATCCTGAGAAGTGCCACCCACCAGTAAGGGGTCTCAAGAAGAGCCCAGGCAGGGCTGCGTGGGGACAGCTGGCTGCGGGCAGGGTGGAGTGGCAGACCTGTGATGCTCTTCCCAGTTGGGAGGGGAGCTAGGACTTCATGATGCCTCATGATGCTGCTTCCCAGAGGGGCCAGGCCCTTGCTGGAGAGGTGCGACATGCAAACTGTCCCTGAAACATGGCTGAGGGGGGGATGCAGCTCAAGCTACAGTCAATGGCCTGTGCTGGACAGGGCTGCAAGTTGGTCTTCTTCCTGCCACTAACTCCCACCCCACCCCGGGTCAAGAATAGATATCCTTTAAAAGGCAGGCAGTGACTGGCAAGCATCAGGGGTCAGGGGTGAGTGCTGGATGCTCCCTGGGCCCCATGGCAGGTGCAGAGGAGGGCAGGAGCCCTTCCCAAGTAGAGACCTCTCCCTTCCACATCACATGGATGTGAATCCCCTCTGGCAGGTGCAGTGAGGGGCAGTGAAAGGCTGAGGCACAGGCACTGTCACCATAGCAGCCTGCAATCCCCACCAAGAACAGAAGGATGCAGGTCACCCACAGTGCTCCCAATGCCACACTAGCACTGAGGCCACAGAGTGTAGAAACATCAGGGGACAGCACCCGAGACAGTCAAGAGGAGCTTGCAGGACTTACTCGGCCAGCTCGGCTCGGAAGCGCCAGTTTCTGCTATTGTCTGTCACCAAAAACTCCTGGAGTTGATACAGATACTCTCTTCTTTTGTCAATATGAAGAAGCTGAAGTAACAAAATAAAAACAGTTTTATTTAATCAGGACAAAGTATAAGCATCATTTCTTTTACTACACTGCTTGAGAATGGACCATAAGTAATATAGGTTGTTCTAAGAAGAAACGAGGCACTTGTATTTAATGCTTTTAAGTTAATAAACTACTCTCACCAAACCCCTTCTACCTTCCGGGGTCACCACCTCCTCTGGCCGCCCAGGGGAACATCTCATCCTGTCCCTACAGGGGCTGCGTGTGATGGGTGCAGAAAAAAATGTATCCAATAACTGGTCTACCACCAAGAGTCAACCCTCACCCTTGACACAAACAGAAACAAACCGAACTACCCGCCCATCGATTAGCATCGCAAGGCTGGAGCCGCTTGAACTCAGCAAATGAGGAAGTGCATTAATGTAACGTCAAACAGTTTTCATCGTGAGAGAGAAGAAATCCGAAGTGAAGAAAGATGACCAAATGGGTGGGACTGGAAGGGGTCCCTGTTGGTGTAAACTGAGGCAGAGGACGTGGGTGTGTTGCATGTGCTGGACACCACACCACAGCCTGTCATGGGTCTTGTGTTTTTATACATCAGTTAAAAAATGAACCCAATGATTCAAAACCAAACCAAATCACCCCTTAGCTTCTGCCTCCCAAGAAGGTGTAACAGCAAGGAGTGGGGGAAAGGGCACAGAGCATCACGGGGAGGATGGCCAGGGTTTGGGGGACACAGCAAGGGCGAGCCAGATGGACACACAAGACCACTTTCAGAGTTCCTGGACCCAATGCGACATCTCCACAGGTCACAGGAATGGATTACATCCACAGGAAATCCTGGAGTCAGCGTCAATATTAAATTTTCAAAAGGGGCAGAGGGAGCAGGGACAGCTTCTCTCACACAAATCTCACACAAAGAGACAAGGCCACTCCAGGACCCACACAGGAGCCAGCACCGTGGTGTGAGCCACACAGGGCCAGAGCTATGGTGAGTGGCTCTAGGGACATGGATATCACAGAGCCCCAGGGCGTCATTCATGAGGACAAACACCAACCCAGCACCAGGACCAAGTGACCATACTTGTCACCAGGCATAGGTAGAGTCCTATGTGACGCATCTGAAAGGCCCGTGACAGCCTATGCAGGAGACAAGGCTGCCAACAAGACAGTGTCGCCAGCATCAAGGGTACTGCAAGGCCAGGAGAAACCATGCCCAGGGGCTCTCTGCAGGTGCTCTCTGTGCACTCAGGTGCCAAAGCAGGGAGAACACACATCCCAGGGCTTGGTCCTGACCTGTGCAGCAAGAAACAATGTTTACATTCAACAGCTGTCTTCCGAGATGAGGGGACATAAGCCACAAAGGAAATCATTGGACCATTTAAAGAAATTTCAGTGTAATCTACATAAAATATTTTAAATTCTTTTGAAAAGCAGAATTATGATCACTTCTGTTACTCAAAGCTTAGAGTGATGAGCGAGAGTGCAAGGACAAAAGTCCCAGCTTGCCCCCCTCATAACGGGCCAGGCCCCTACTCCAAACAGCAGGACCTCACAGCAAAGGCGGAACCCTCAAGTACTACGCAGCTCCCACTGACCGCAGCGCCCACTGATGGGTCGTGCAAGTTTCTAGTATGTATTTTATTCAGTAATTTTAAAAAAGAAGGCACAAATGTTCATTTCTACAGCCTAACATCATTTAAAGATGAACTTTAGCATAATTATTTTTAAATTTAAAAATTAAAACAACATCAGCCAAGCTGGTCTGATACTTTTTGGATAATGAAATCGTACCTTACCATCAATGCATGGAACACATCCTTACAAAAGAGCACAAAGAACTCTGGCTATCACCAAAAATAAAGATTTTAGGTTTACGGTGGAATTTTAGTATGTTTCTATGTAAAAGAATTTAAAAGTTACCTTCAGAAAATCATGCAAGTGTTTAAGGACACCTATCCTGACTTCGTCCAGGTCTTTTAAAAATCCATTAAATATTGGAACCAGATCCGCAGCTGTCAACTGATCTCCGAGAATAACTGCGAGCTCGTGGATGGAGAAAGCTAAGGTCCTTCGAACTTTCCACTGCAGAGATAAGAGCTGTTTTAGCAGGCTAAGCCACACAGTACTCAGGACTGAGTATTAATTAAAAAAATTACATCAGCATAGAATAGCAGACATAATGGACATTAAGTTTTAAATGTCTACCACATGCCCAAAATGGGGCAAGTTTTAAAAAATCCCTGCCCAGTCATCACCTCCCCTTTCCTACAAAGAAACTGTCTTTAGGAATAGCTGCCATACAGCTTTATATTTCTGCACACTTGACTCCTGAGGACCTACCTACACCTGCGGGTATCGAAGGCCACCTCCCACCACCCCACGTGACTCTTTCTTGGTACTCCTGTCTGCCCGTCTTGGATAAAAGACACAAAACTTATGTGTACAACACCGACAAACACAAAAACAGGAAATTGTTTTTCATATAGCCTTTGGAAAAGAATTCAACAGAGATATATTAATAGGAATCATTTCTTAGGCTGGTTGTGGTGATGCACAGCTATAATTCCAGCATTCAGGAGATGGAGGCAGGAAGACAAGGATGAGGAAGAGTCCAGGGCCAGCCTGGACTACATAGTGAAACCCTCTCTCCATGAAACAAACCCCCCAAACAACAAAAAATCCACTTCATTTTCCACGTTGCATTCATTTACAAGTCTGATGTGCTGCTTAATTCTGTACCTATGTGACGCAGCGCACTGCAAAGAGACCTCCCCCATTAAATGTGTGTTTACGAGTTTGCCACAAAAGTCGCGGGACACAGACTGCAGCACGCGGAGCCTCCCCGGCACCAGCTTTGACCCCTCGCTCAGGGAGTGAGGCCCGACTCCCAGGCCTCCAAGGCTGGAGAAGAAGCATACGCTTCACTCTCCCCAGGTTACTTTCCACTTCCAATGTGCTGAGTCCAGGGCACTGAATCCTTCAAAAACTCAGGAAGCACTACAAGGGTGAAAGGAAAATCACTGCTATCTCAATACAGAGTCTGACTGACCCCACTGGATCTCACTAGAAGACCAGCTTTCTGTGGAAGAGGCGCAAATTTTTGGTTCGTGGGGCCTAGACCTAACAGCAAGGGAGGGAGGTTTAAATCACCAAAGCTAGGAAGAAAGAAAGACACAGAGACAGACACACACACACACACACCCACACACACAAAAAAAATGCTAACCAAGTGTGGTGGCACAGGCCTATAACCCAGCACTCTGGGAGGATGAGGCAAAAGGATCGTAAGTTTGAGATCAACTTGGGTGGCCTGGTGAGGCTCTGTTTCAAAATTTAAAAAAAAAAAAAAAAATTTTTTTTTAAAGGGTTGGGACTGCAGCTTAGTGTAAAGGTCTTGGGCTCAATTCCCAGTACTGACAAATAAAAACCAAAAAACTCCAAAACAAACCCCCCCCCCAAAACAAGACAGACACAATAGTTTGTGTGACACTTTTCCTGCTCTTTTGAAGGGGGCTGGAGTTTAGGGCAGAGAATAACCATCAACTTTCCAGTCAGCACTCAACACTTGGGCATAGGGCTGAGAACTGGAGTGTGGTAAGAAATCTCACCATCCTAACTGTTAAGGATGAAATATCTTTTGGTATCGTATAAAGATCAAAGGAGCACTTACACCAGGATTTCTAGGGGATTGTTTATTCTCGAGAATTCATCTACAAATCAACTTTAGATAACACACATTTCTCAGCTAGGGACTTAGGCATGTCAACTGTGTCAAGTGTGTTAGAGAAAAGCTGAGAAGCCAAACTGGAACTCTTGACTGCAGAAAAACAACTGTGCTCTGACTTGAGGGCTTCCTCACACTGCTTCCTGCGACAGCAGGCCTGTGCTGGAAGCCATGCAGTGGTTCTCTGAGTTCTGAAAGCCAAACCACAGTGTGCTGTTCCCCATCCATTCTCCCTCAGTGCCGCACTCACCTGCATGTCAGAGGCCAAGGTCTCATAGGTCTCTCTCAGGCAATGCCAGTTCTGCCTGCCGAGGGTCAGGGCCACCCCTGGCAGGCTGTACGCACAGTGCTTGGCGATCTCTGTGTCCACTGTCTGTGCGCGGGATGGGTCGGTCATAGACAAGTACTGATCCAATAGAGCCTGAGGCACCACGTCCTGGTGGAGACAAGAGGACAGTGTGACAGTGGAGCATTCAGATGTGTCTACAGCCACCGGACTAAGGCAGGCAGAAGTACTTCCCAAAACTTGGATGCGACGTACCTGGTGGATGAAAACGAATTAATTCAAGAAATGCAGGCTAGGGAAACACAAAAATAAAGGCAACGCTAGAACAATGATGAATATGATCTTAAAGCAGGAAACAGCTGAAGTCTTTGAGAATTAATTACTCAACAGATGCACACTACAAAAGAGGTGGCACTTGCCCATGAACACGTAAGACAGGTCCTCCATGCATAGTCGGCAACAACCATGTCCCTTGGAGGGAGATTTTAGCAATCATCTATAAAACATTAGTGTGTACACATCTATCTGTAGAATATGACGAAAAGAAAGAATATACAGCTTGCCGATGTATGTGCAATGATGCTCTGGAAAGGGATGTCAAAGGAAAGTGAGACCACCGTTACTGGGGAAGCACAGTAGAGGAGTGGAGGAGAAAAACGGAAGGACGTTCCACTGCCTGCTCCTTCATCCACACTACATACAAATAATAAATTAAATGGAAATAATCCACTACGAGAATGCAATAATCTGAATATATTGATAAGCATCTCTATAATGTAAATGGGTAAAAATATATTTCAAAACTATGCACACTGATTCCATTTTTAGTAAGAAAATATGTATAAATTAAGCACATGCCATCTGACCTACAAAACCTACTTCTAATACTAGCACAGTCCCAGAAGCAAACTGCAAGTAAAGGAGCCTACGACACAAGTGGTGCAGTTGGTCACATGGTATCAGAGCTCACCTGGGAAGTATGTGTGGACCAAGATAGAGGAACAGGGCTGTGGGTGCTGGGTGAGGCTCGAGGGAGATGTCCACAGTGAAAAAAAATTTTTTTTTTTTTGAGACGGTCTCACTATGTAGTCGAGACTGACCTGGAGCTCACTATGTAGCCCAGGCTGGTCTCAAACTCACAGTGATCCTTCTGCCTCAGCCTCTGAGTGCTGGGATTACAGGCATGCACTGCCATGCCCAGCTACAGTGAATTTTTTACAAACAGAAAAGCACAAAGTGTGCCCCAATGATTCCAGGTACCATCTCCCCATTTTCATTCAAGTCCGTGAAGGTGGACTGGGGCTCAGGGTCCACAGCACTCTTCAGTGGCTTCAAGCCGTTTCCCATGTTCTGTCCTAAATCCAGAGCTGTACTTTGGAATTCTTGGCAACTTAGGCAGGAGAAAAGGCCTGGTAGCATGGGATGCTCATAGCTCTTTGAGAGACAGCAAGGGGTGCCTCTGATGTACTCCCAAATCTCTGAAGGAACCAGGTGGAGCTGCAGCTGGGAGGATTTGTGCTTACGTGCAATTCTCCACTAGGTGAACTTTCTTATTCCAGATGACACACTAGTCTTCATCTTGAAAACGCTCATTATGCACAAAGGTGAACACAGGTAGGAAACAGGCTGCATAAGAGGGTGAAGAATAGCACAAAGGAAGGCATCCTGTGACTTGCCTGTACTTTAGGCCTCCTCTCCTCATCTGGGCTGAAGCTGCTGCTGGTGCTCACATCTGAGTCGCTGTGGACGTAGTGAAGGGCAGGGTCCATGCTCTGTGAGGAGAGAGAGCTATTTTAAGAGCTGCTGCTGTGTGGCTCTCACTTCAGCTACCCTACAAGCCTACTCACCTTCAAGGCTGTCCCAAAGACAGACAGACAGACACACATGCATGCACACACACACACAAACACACTCTTCAGGTTTTTATAAGTTTATGCACATGCCTAAGGCCTCATAAGAGTCCTGATTTGAATCAACTTGCTCAATTCTCAGAAAAATGAAAAAATTAAAAAGTAAATTTGAAAGTAATTTTTAAATGGTCTAAATTTCTCAAATTAGCTCACTTATAAAGTGGTAGTGAAAGGTTCTTTCGAGGCCACTGGCTGTCATGTGTAGTTTTCTTCTTACTATTTCTATTCTTGGTTGTTAATACCTAATTTCACAAACATTGTGAGCCAACAGTTCCATATACAAAACAAAAATAAAGTCAAATATCCAGTAAATTATCAAGGTTTCAGCCCAAAGCACTGAAATTACACATTTCTACTATACTAGATGTCATCTAACAGAAAATAGAATTGCACCAAGAAGCCTCTTGCCACCCCCAATGTGTAAGGACACACTTTGCTGAGCTATCATTCAAGCAGCCAGGATCTGGGACCACCGGACTATGGCAAGGAGTGGTGTATTCCTCCTCTGTTATGTAACACGGGAGAAGAAACACAGACACTCAGTGATACTAGTTGGAAGGGGATGTGGTGGGAAACGAGGGAAATGTACGAACAGCTACACCTGCGCAGCAAAGACGATGCCAGTAACAGTACCCACCCTCACACTTGAGTCCAGATAATGCCACTGGCCTCCGCAACATGGCCTCAAGTCCCGATCTTCTGCTCAGAATATTGTGTTGCTCGCTGCAGTGAAATGGTCCGATCAGAAACAAAGCACCTCTCCAAAAAGAAAAGGGAAGAGTTAATTATTCTTGATAAAGGGCTTTGTTTCCAGTAAGACTATTTCACTGCAGTGAGCTACGTTCACATTGAGTCTAGCAGGATGGGCGTAGAGATGGCACTGGCATTTAAGCTTCCAGGCATTTACTATGACACTAGCGTCACAAGGACAGGAAGTGGTGAGAACTATGACTTTACTTTATCATGCAAAAGAAAAGCTGCGGAAGGAATGTGCTAGCTAAGAAGTGATCAGCTATAGTGTCCCCGACAACAGACTCCCAGACTCAAACTGCTCCCATCGGTCAACACCACTGGGTTCGTTACCTCAACAGCATCGCTGATTAAAGGCACAGAATCATCTTGATTTATTTTACAATTTGGTAGTTCATTTATACCCGGTTCGTCTTGCAGCTCACTGCTCTTTTCCACGCTGACAGCTTCTGTGTGAGTGTCCAGGCTGGAGGCGCGCAGGGCGGCCGATAGCACCTCCACTTGCGCTGTGGGAGGAGGAAAGAAAGTGAGGGGCCGTCCTCTCCGGCACATCGTGTGTTAGCAGTAACGTGTACTTTTCATACTGCTGTCAAAAAGCTGGAAAAAAGTCTACGATGGTAAATCATTAGTCCTTCCAGAGAAAAAGGAGAAAACTAATATGCTTTCATGAGATTAAAATGTTTATCCACTACTGTACATTATTCTGCGTTAGTATGAAAGAGAAATGCTATTTAGTTGCCGGAGGTACCTCCAGTTTATTAAAAAGAGTCAATTTCAGGAGAAGTTAACTACGTTGTGGTAGTGACAAGGCTTACTTACTAAGCTATCTTAGCAGCAGAGCAGTCACACAAACCCTGCCAACATAAAATAATGGCAATTACAAAGATTTCTGAGGCAGTTACACTTAAACATCTCATCTTATCCCAGCGTATTTTTCTCTAACTCAGTGATGACAAACACTTTAGAGATGAGTGCCCGAACTGCCATCCAAAATACACTTATTTACCACAAAGTGCCAACCCTGCAATTAAACCTGAATCCTGAGGATTTAGTTTAGAAAAAAATAACTCACACATTAACATATTTTGTTTTAAAAGAAAGACAAATAACATGTGTGCCTCCATTGTATGAACTCTTTGAAAATCAAATCATTACCTTGTCCCAAACATGGGTCTCCTGTGAGCACCACCATGCTTGCCGCAAATCAGAATGACAATTTACCAGGCAGTGGCTCCATAGCCTGGCAATTATTACCGCCTTCCTCATAAAGGACATTCAGAATGGAGAAAAAGCACTGTCCATTCACCCCCAAGGAAATCAGAAATTTAGCAAAAAGTATTGCTTATTAGCAGCTTAGAATTGATTGCAGGTAATCAACTTGGATGTTCAAAATGTGAAAAATTTAAAATGTATTTAAACAAATAATCAGTAGCTCCCCAAGACAACCTATTAACAGGCTGCAGCAGGCACAAAGTTTCTTGTCTCAGTACACTAAGTACCAGGCATATACACAGATACACAGGGCACTACGCTAAATGGGGCCAATTGTGGATGTCTGCTCAGGGTGTGTTCCGGGGAGTGCTCTTCCTGTCAGAACTCTGAGGGCAATCTGCACAGTCACTCATTCTGCCCCTCCTCTTTCTGGGACCAGTTGAGGTTCCCCCAACCAAAGCCAACAGGACTCAAGGAGACCACACAATTCAGGAGGGCCATGGCAGTTCACACCACTGAAGCATGTGCCACGGGACATGGCTAACGTGTCGCACCTACTCTCTGGAATCGACTAAGGCAGAGCCTCTCACAGAACATGTCAGACACCTTTTATTTTGTCCATGACTGCCCTTATTTTAAGTTTATGCTCATGAAAACTAAAGTGACACTGTAAACTTACCCTCCTTCCCTGGAAGTAAGACCTAGCTGAAAATAATTATCTTTGAAAATGAGATAAAAAATGCCAGGCTGTCAGCCTGTCCTCACCTGGACAGTGGCCAAGCTCAGTGTCAAGAGGACAGTGGCAGCAGGTAAGCAGAGCTAGGCTGATGGGGGTGCTGGCATTTTTGCTCTCTATAGTTTTCAAGGCTGAATATTTTCCAGGTAGGCCTTATTTTCAGGCAAACGTGGTACCTCTTCCAAAAAATGATCTAAGATGGAGCCTAGTGCTGACACCTCCATTCTCCAGCCAGTGGAGGAGGGAGGAGGAAGCTTGTGCTCTGCATGTAAGGCACCATCACAAGGCTTGGGGAAACAGCACACAGGCTTTACTAGGACTTGCCTGGTACCTACAGTATAGACTGAAATCCTAGGAAACAGTGATACACAAGATTCTAGAGAGATCAGTAGGCAACAATGAAATCTGCTGCTTGTTTTCTTACTATGGTCTTGGACTCTATTCTGAGACAGCTGCCGCGATCTGGGGTTAGTGTGGTGACAGCTGATTTTCTTTAGTCTAGAAGCATGTCTCAAGGTCTGGTACCAGGCCCTGGCACAGCTTCTGTGGACACACAAGGTCCTAACTTTGCCTATTAGACCCTCCCTCATCTTACTAAACATGGAAAAACCTGACGAGGCAATGGAAGTAGTACATGCCCCAGCAAAGCATAGCTTTCAATTTGGGATAACCTTTGAGAAACCCAAATGGTTTCGTGTAGTTTGAGGGAAATTACTGTCCTACAGTGGCAAAATTAAAAAAGTAAAAGGTCCTCAAATTAGTGTAAATCTCATCATAAATTCAAAACCTGTCTGAGATGATTCAAGATCGAGGCAGTTATTTGAATTAACACAGTTAAACATGCCTCCAACCCCAACAGAAGCAAATGCTCAAGAGCTCTGCAGCTTCCACAGCGCAGTCCTGACTCAGCGCCCCCTTCTGGCCGTCTCTCTGCTGTGGATGCTGATGCTGGGCCCTCACAGGAACTCAGGCACCCAGCTTTACCAGCCCCTCTGCAACCCCTGGAGCCTGGGGTTTGTGTACTCCTCACCTGGGATGGCACCTAGCCCTGGGCCCAGGAAGGACTGCTAATGAATGAATACACAGGGAGGGCCACCAGGCAGACAGCACAATGTAACAAATCTGCATATAGCAAGCATGAGAGCTGAACTAGAAAGAGAACCAATTAAGCCAGAGTGTTTATTCTGAAATCTCTCAACCTCATATAATTTTAAGTCAAATAGTGCAGGAGACCAGTTTCAAACCGCACTGAGCAGGCTTTAGATATTATTGATCTGGGTTATAATTTGGCAATTATGAGTCACTCCAAGGCCTAAGTGTGAATGGCTAATTGACCCTCTGCTGTACGGAGATAAGACTTCCCTATGCCAACAGTCACAACTGAGGTCTCAATGATCCATGAGGTTGTGACGTTGCAAATAGTAAGGAGACACTGGAGCTGAGGGATTATAACTGTGTGGCCATTCCCCAAGAACAAGTGTTAGCTAAGATAATGCAGGTGGCTTGTTAGCTGTGACCTGCAAGATAGCACAGGTGGCTTGTTAACTATGACCCGTCCTTCACCTGTATACACAGTCACCCCCCTTTTACAGGTGAAGGACACGGCTCAGCCGTGCATATGCTCTGCTATTACCTATCTGCCCTCACACGCCCTTGCTATGCACTATAATCATACACACTGATTAATCCAGAGCATAGGGTCTTAGTCAGGAGAGAGCTAAGATCAGGCAGTCTTTAGCCAGGAGAGTGCTGAAGATCCGTTCCCAGCCCCCAGAAGTAATAAGCTACTGTTTGTTCTTCTCTATTTCTTGTTCTTTCAACCCCTCCTGTCCCCTCATCAGGGCATCCCCAGGAACTGGTTGGGCTATGCAGCCATGACACAACAGTATATAATATAGTATACAGTATCAGCCACTTTTGCTAACACAAAGTCACTGTGAAACTTCTATGTAAGCATAGATCTTTAAAATCAAACTGTGGAGAAGTATTTTTAATTTACTGAAAAAACATAAAGCAGCTCATTCAATATTTCAATTAGTATCTGCTAAGTTGCAGAGAACCAGCCAGTACTACCATGCCATGAGTGCCCCTAGAACAGACTAGTTGGCAATGTATTTTGGATAAAAATGGAATTTAAGAAAAATAAAATATGATAGTTACTGAAGTTTAATGAACACAATACAACTTAAACTGATAAAAGCAACAACAAACAGGTGAAAGCTATGAAGAAACAACTTTATCCAAAGATTACTGTCTTTGCTACACTAGACCCTCACTGTGGGTATGGTTCTCTGTGCTCAATCATCCCCCCCAGAAGAGGGGGACACTAAAGTAGGGTTCTGGTCAAGCAAAATAAAAACCTCAACGCTTGCTATTATAATCAAGTTGTCATAAAATGCAGAAAACTGGCTCACCGGAATAAAAAAAATCTGCAACAGGGCCACAAGTGAGGAATGAAGCAAAACGCAGAGCTGTCAGGCTTCCATAAAAAACACACAGTGCCCTCCCGCAGTGGCGCGAGGAACACACTGGAGTATCCTACTGAAAGGCACGCAGTTTCTTTCTTGCCTGTGCTCAGAAAGTGACAAAAAGACTGAATGACTAAGATAGGCAACCACAAGGACAAATCTCAGACATGCTGCCAGATCCCATTTATGTGGGCTCCAGAAAAGGACCGAGCAATCACAGGCCCAAGAAGGCCAGCTGGACGATGGGCAGGGAGGGACCGGCTGGCAGGAGGGGTTGGAGGGGAGGCTCCAGGGGAGGAGGGTGCATAGCACCTGCTGCCACGCAGCTGACAGGTGTGTTGCACGCAGTAACATCAAATCTGACTCGTAAAAGTCGATAGCTCTGAAATCATCACATTCCACAGAAAATAGAAACCTATGTCCACTGTTAGTAGATGATAGTCTTTCCTTGAAAAACAAGACCACCATGTCTACTGTTATTTTATAAAAAGGCTGACACGATCTGGAGCAAAGTAGTTAGGGCAGGGCTCAAGATTTTAAACTGTAAATGCAACGTCCTGAATAATGAACATTTTGGAAAGATTTGTGCATCAACAAATGAGATTTTAAAAATAAACCACATCTATCTTAAAAGGAGGCAATTTTCCTAGAAAAGTTTTTTTTCAAGTCATAGCATTTTATGTATCAATTTGAGAATAAAGAGGCTAATTGACTCTTCATACCTTTAACATCAGGGTCATCAATATGGGGCTCTAGGTTTTCTATCATTTCCTCCAGCTCCTTCCTGGTCGCCATAGTGATATTTGGAGAACCTGGCATGAAGTCTTCAGGGGCTTCCTCTGGCCTCTCCAAGATCAGGCTCTTCCCAGAGTCCTGCTCAAGCTCGATGTCCAGATCTATTTCAGGAAGAGGAGTCCTCCAGAAATGGAAGGAGTTGTACAATTCCTGATCTAGGAGCACCGAGTCTTGTGACCTGGTGTCAGCCTCCAGCTGGAATGCGGATTTGCAGCCATCAGGCTTTTTAACCTCGTCACTACTAGCTGCTTCCGGATGAGACTCTGAGGACCCAGTACAAAGCGAAGAGCTGTCTGCCGGAGCTGGAGCCGGTACACTCAGCTCCTGTGCAGAGTCCTGAGGTGCTCCAGCACCACCGTCTCCCAGCATGCATTCCAATCTGGCACCGGGGCCAGTGACACTTAGGGCTGAAGGTATATCATCTGGCACCTCTTGGTCTCCAAGCCTTTATTGTTTTATTGAGGAGAAAAAAACCAACATGAAAGTATGAAAATAATTACTGGAAAAATCAGTGAAGAAATACTACATCTAGCATTTAGGCAAGTTAAATATTAAAAGTGATACATTACCCACACAAGTGAAACAGTTTATGTATACATTGTTTATAGTACTGCTTTTTTCTACCAGGTGTTATGTGTTCAAAGGAGTAAATACTTGTCAAGCACGAGTCTAGATGCTAAGCATTATTACTGGCTGGACATGGTAACATTTAAGAATACTGGGCTTCTACAATACCATGCTGATTTCAACACTCAGTCATCAAAGAAAAACAGCAGGAAGCAGAAAATTCTACAGTGTATCTTAAGGTACATAACAATTTCACGTTATTTAATTTTTAGGATTGTACTGCCACTCTGCCCCAATGAGACAGTGAAAGCTGAGGAAGCTTTTTTTTGCTTATGGAAGGGGAAAAAAATACACAGCTGTATGAAAGATACCTCCTATCTCACAAAATATATTAAAACCTGTTAAAGTAGGAAGGATTATTTTTTTTTCTTCCACCATTTTCATCTCTACTCTCAAAAGTCTTTCCCAAAAGAAGACATGACTTAACTGCTAAGGACAAAGGGTACACGTTCCTAACTAAAGCCCACTGATTACTGACTGCCATCCATTTTGTTGTTTTTCTCCTATATTTTATTTGATTCAATTAAACTGAATCAGCATCTGCTGAGCACCTACTAGGAGCCAGAAAATAAAATCAGTTTTGAGAATGTGAATGAGATGCAGATCTCACTGTGGAGATTATGATCAGAGGCAAATAAAACAAATGGGCAAATAAGCAAATTCCCAACCAAGTGGTGAGCAGGGAGGAGGAAATGATGACCAACTGTTTACACGAGGCTGAGGGAAGAAAAGAATATGAGGAAGAACCAGCACACCAGGCTAGAGCTGGAGAAGCCATACAATAATGTGTTCAGAAAACAACAATCTCACTGGCGCTAAGAGAAGGAAAGTGATGGACAAGAGTGAAAGCTGTCTCAGGGTCCACTCTCCTCCACACTGACACCTCAGAGCTCAGCCTGCAGGCTGTAGGAAGTAAGGTAGGAATTACGTTATTACACGTGTTCGTTTTGCAAGACCATTCTGGAAGCAGGGTGGAACGTGAAATGCAATCCTGGATGAGCCTGTGAGAGATGGTGGTGTCTGGGGCTACAGAAGGCATGAACACAGTCCAACAGTAACATAACCAACAAGTACAAAGTCCCTGCTTTCATGCTGGGGACCACAAACAAAGCGAGGAATCTGGCAAGATCTGGATTGCTGGCCTCAGCAACTGGGTAGATGCTGGTAACACCAAGTGAGAGTCAAAACAGAGAGGGAATTCTGCTGAAAAGGTTACCGGGCCCAGGTCTGGATGGGGTGGGTAGGGTGGGTTTAGCCTCTGCTAAGAACCAGGTGGTGATGTCCACGAGTTACTGGAAAGAGGTGGAGAATGGAGAGAGACTTGTAGGCCAATTCCCCCAAAGATATCAGAAACATTAATGAAGGAAAACTGAACAACTCCAAAGAATAACAGAGTGAAGGCATTTTTCTTGTACAAAAGGAGGGTAAAAATGAGCACACTTTTACGTTGAGGAAGATAGGCTAGAAGAGATGAGAGAACTGAGACACAGCTACTGACAGCATAATTGATCTCTAAGGAGAAAGTATGAGCTCAAAAACAAGAGAAGCAGGACGTGGTGGTGCATGCCTATAATCCCAGCACTCTGGGAGGCTGAAGCAGGAAGATCACAAGTTTGAGCCCAGCCTGAGCAAGAAAAATCTGGTCTCAAAAAATTTTAAAAAGTCCTGGGGATGTGAAGGCCTTGAATTCAATCAGTACTGCAGAACAAAACAAAACAAAACAAAACAACAAAAGCACAGAGGGGAAACCACCAGGTGAGGAGATACCTCCTTTTAAAAAAACACGGAGGGAGATAAGTACGGCAAGATAGGGATGTCGTTTTGTAAGGTGACTATGGGAAAAATAAAGGTCCCCTTCAAATGCCGTGTGCCTTTAAATACACACAATAAAAGACATGGAACCAGAGGCTTGCAAGGACTGGGCAAAAGGAGAACACTATTAACTTGACTGTGACCCCAGCAAGGTAGCCACCATGCTGCACACACTCGTGAGGCCAAGCCCCTCTCGGCCCACCGCTCACATCGTTTTCAAAAATGTACTTTAAAAAATACTGAGTATTGAAGATTTCTTAAACGATAAACAAAAATGGGGCCAGGGATTTAGCTCAGTGGTGCCATTCATTGCCTGCCTTGCTAGAGCAAGATCTCAAGTTCAATCCCTGGTACAACAACAACAACAACAACAACAAACAAAAAAACCAAACCAAACCAAAATGTACACAAATACTTTGAAAACCTATGATACAGTGATAGCATTTTCAATGCTGGCACTCCCCTCTGTTCTGTAACTATACAGTGTCTCGTGTGCACCTACTGCGTCCTGACCCGCACCAGCAACCCACATGTAAAGCTTGGCCTTGGGACACTGCGACTCCACGCTTGCTCTTCCCTCAGCACAGAGGACCAGGTACCCTGCAACGGCCTTTCTTTCCCTCACAGAACAGCTCCAGGACTCTTATGCAAAGTGTGCTTTCTCTCTTTTTTTTTTTGGTACTGGGGACTGAACTCAGGTCCTTGCACTTGCGAGGCAGGTTGCTGAATCACTGAGCCAAATCCCCAGCCCTAGTGTGCTTTCTAAATGCAGCATTTTCCAACCAACTTACTTAAAAAGCACATTACTTTTTCTTTTTGTTATACAGAATATTCATGGTGAAATCTAAATAAAATCTACAGATTAGACAATGTATTAATTTAATTTCTTAATAGTTAAGTTTTTCAAGAAATACACAATGAAATATTTGAGTGCTAAAAAGAATATTCTGTCTAAAATGTATTCTCTAAGAGTTCAGAAAAACAGTAAATACGGTAATATAATATCTGAAGAATTTAGATAAAGGGGATATGTGGCATTTCTTTAATTTTCCGGAAATCATTTGAATGAAGTATTTTAAAGCAAGGGGGTGGGGAAGAACAAATGGGGTAAAGCTCAAAAGACTTCATTTGTTATCTGAAAAATTTAAGAAACTTCCATTTAAAACATAAAAATAGAATCTAATTAAATGGCCATCCAGAATGAAAAATTATTTCAGGGGCTTGCAGTTCTTTGATCACTGTCTCACCATAACAAGAAGAATAAACTTCAATATTCTTAGCAACAAAATCCAATGGAGATGACTGCTCAAGCTTTCCTACTCACCTAATGAATGCACAAATGTAGGAATATGTCCAAACTTCAAACTCACAGGATGGCTTTTAAGAGAGAAGTACATGACATGAAAAGGTTTTCCCTAGTATTAAATTCTGGGAAGAATTACTACAAACGTGGCCTCAAAATTCTCAAGAGTAAGTTATCTAAAAACTGACTTTCCCCAGAGGCAGTGTATACCAAGCTACCGAATGCCAAAACTCTTGAGGTTTGCCCACCAGAACTCGAGATGCTGTTATCCAAGGGAATTGTGGGTGTAAACTGAGGGGCCCTGAGCCCCGTGTGCAGAGCCACCTCCGCTCCTGGAGATGCGGCACAAACGCACCAGAGGGACCATCAGAAGTTTCTCTCAAAGACAGCTTTCACTCTTTGTCTCTGCCCATGTTAAAACTCCAGTCAATATCCTCAGAGCTGCTCATGAGAGGCTTTGGTGCCTAGAAAACACAAGCAGAAGATGGCTTGTACGACACGTGGCCCAAGAGCACTGGGTCCAGAGAAGCCAAAGAAAAGTCCAGGATGCAGCTTGCAAGCACTGTCCTGTGCCTTAGCTCCATCAAGTGAAGGGATTCCACTGGGTCAACACTTTCGTGTGTGCCAATAACAACCAATTTTCCTCTTACATACACAGCAGTAAGCAGAACAGACAAGTGGTTCAGTTAAAGTTTCTGAAATCAAATCTATTAGTAAGTGCCAACTATGTGCCAGGCCCAGTGAAGGTGTTAATATAAATGAGGAGAACAACTAGACCCTGCCCACAGCAGCCTCTGCATGACACACAGAAATACAAAATTAAGACATGGTTAAAACTGGAGGTGCCAGTCCCAGTTTTGCTGGCAGCAAAGACAGAGTGCTCTCAGTGGGCTCTGGGAGAAGTGACCTGTGTCAGTGCCCACACTGCTGCCCCTTTTGTCGAAAGAGGGTGCAGACAGAACATGACGGCTTCCCAGAGGGCAGCAAGAACCAAAAGAACACAGTACATTCAGACAACGTAATAATAAATATAAAAGAGAATGCTCATTTTATACAATCTAACAAGTTTGAACATTTAATTTTCTTCCTGGAAGTAGCTAGAAACACTTCGAAAAGCAGGAATAAGCCTGAGGAGGTGAGTGAAAGATTAAATCTGATCAATTCAGTTGTTTGCTGTCATTAAATTCTTCAAAGAACAGTGACAGCAAATGCTCTCAGGGCCAGGATGAAACGCTATGCAATAAAGAAGTGGCAGCGAATGTGTTGGGTCAAAGATTTGTTTACTTTCATCCACCTGAGAAACTGGAATTCTAAGAAGCTATGAGGGCCTTAAGAACAGGGACCAAGTTCCAGATTTTCATTTACAGTGGTTCAGAGTAGGTGCTCAGTTAAGTGTGCAAAAACAATCACTGTAATAGCACAGCAGCTTTAAGGCAGCTTAGAAACAGAGGCCAGTGCTGTATGGAGTGGGGGCAGACAAACATGGTGCTGAGCCTTAATGACATATAGGACTATCTCTTTATGATGCTAGGACGCCAACGTGTACAAGTGTTCACAATATTTAACACAACCCGTGCCTTAGCCGGGAGCTCTCTTCCCTGCATCATGCCACTAATACAGTTCAGTAACGCCTGGGGCTACAGCGAAAACCTAATGCTACAAACAGCACTGACCCAGCCATGAGACATAGCAAATTACAATGGAAAAAGTACTAAGGCATTAAACTATCTTTAAATAGCTCTTTCAAAAAAGGCTCTGTCAGCAGACCCAGCCTTAAGAGCCACACAGATGGGCTTTACCAAGTTTTACTGGAACACAGCCAAGCCTCCATTTATGTTGTGTATGGCTGCACACGATGGGCAGAGCTAAGGAGCTGTGACGGGGCAATATTTACCACCTGGCCTTGTACAGACAGCATGCCACCCCTGTCCTACAGGGCTCTCTGCAGATTTAGACCTTCACTTCCTAGGCCCTCTCCAGATTTAAAGTAAGTTACATAAGTCTTCAGTACATTTAAATCAACATAAAAAAGTACGCCAACTTCAAAAATGAAAAACATAACATTTCCACCCCCCATCATTGTGTCAAACTCCTTTCCGGCAGCTGTTTTCAAAAGAACCAAGACTTTGCTTGCTAGGAAGACAGATTTAGAGTGACTTTTCTTCCTTTACAAAAAACAGTACCTCAGGTTTGTTTGGCTATTCAGCAGGACAGTAGGAGAACAGGCAAAAAGGTAAAACAAGGCAGCAGAGAAGAAAGGAAGAACTGCCAAATCAAAACACCAAGAAAGCAAATATCACAGTATCAAGACCTATAGAAGAAAATGTCTGTTAGCATCATGACAAGGGAGGGACAAGCACCATGGTATTGCAAGCACTGCAGTTAGGGACCATTTCAAAAGCATGTACCCAAACCAATTATTTTATGTGCAGATGTTTACATCTTATGCACACTTCCCATGCACTAAGGTCTGAACAGTTATCTCCCTAAGTATACATTTAAAACTTAAATTCAATAAAAAATTCTTAATTCAAAAAGTTTTGTAAAGTAAAAATCAGAGTTGACTGTTTAAGCTTTCTTTAAAAATCTGGTTATCATACATAGTAGATTAATATATTTAAAACTGATATTCTAGTGAATAAGCCATCTAATTTAGGGCCAATCATTAAAATGTTCAATCCCTCCATTGAAACATTACAATTATCCTGTAGGCAGAGAATCTGGCTCACATTAAATTAACTGACTGAAAGGAAAAATAATAGAAGTGGACCATATACAAAAAAAAAAAGAATGCTTAAACTAGGGTTTATTCCTTAAAACAAAATTTTTAAAAAATATTTAAAGTATATAAGCATTGTTTTATATTCTAAATATCAACAGTTTACTAGGTAAATAATGTAAATAAGCTTACTCAAAAATTATAAAATCTACCATTTAGTTTTCTATGTGCAAGGCATCAAGCTAAGTAGGTTATATAAATCTTCTAATTTAACATGTAACAACCTGAAGACATAACAACTTATGCATTTAAAACTTTATGAAAATATTAACCAATTTTTATTTTCAAGAGAAACAGTAAATACTTTAAAAAGAATATAAAATAGTAGAAAAGATGCTTATAAACAGTAACTTTCAAAAACAATGTTTTAAAATTATACCTATTTTTATCTTCTGAAATATCTTCTGAATTTTTACTTTCTTCTTTAAAATACTGGCCTGAGCTAGATGGATTAGCAAAAGTTGATATGAAAGGTCCCAGAGACTGAAAAGCTGCTTGGCGAACCTAAGAAGAAAGAACAGTAATATTATAAGAATAAGAGGTTTTGGGGTTTGTTTTCTGGTGGTACTGGGGATTGGACACAAAAGACCTTCACACTGAATTACATCTCTATCTCTTATTTTTTTATCTTGAGACAAGTTCTCACGAAGTTACTAAGTTACCTATGCTGGGCTTAAATTTGTGATTCTTCTGCCTCAGCCTCCCAGTGTACTGGGATTATAGATGTGCACCACCATACTCTGCAACAGAGTTAAAAACAAAAAACAAACACCACATATCTCCATATTTAATCATCTACTTTCCATAAATCAAAGTCAAAGTATGTTTGGGATAATAATAAAGCTTTTCTAAAAGAAACCCAGATTAGGGGGGCTGGGGATGTAGCTCAGTGGCACCGTGATCACAAGTGCAAGGCTCCGAGTTCAATCTCTGGTACTGCCAAAAAAGTAAGAAACTCAGATTCTGAACTTTTATCATTCTTCAGCTGAGATTTAAAAACCTTTATAAATTATTTTTTCTTTTAATTGTTATTCTAAGCTTATATATTGAAACCATTATAACCTAAGATCTTTTAATATTTGCATATAACAACATCTTCTTGGGCCGGGTATTTGTCTCAGTGGTGCCACCGCCTGCCTTGCAAGTGCAAGGTCCTGAGTACCAAAAAAAAAAAAAAAAGCCAAAGTTACCTAACCACAAATACAAAGCAAGAAAGCCAACAAGATGTGCTACACACACAGAAGGTGGCAGGCAGGAATGACTGATCTGTGCACAACAAAGAGGCAGGAGAGATGTGCCACACCGCACACACACCCACCAGCAGCAGAGCACTGCGGTGCTATTACTGACGAGCACCATGTGGGAGGGGTGGCTACAGAATTCTACTGCGTATTTACTTCTGTTTTATTTCTAAATCAGGGTTAAAACATTGGAGCTGGGCATGGTGGTTCACACCTGTAATCTCAGCACCCTGAGATGCTGAGGCAGGAAGTTCACAAATTCAAGCCAGCCTAGAGCACAAGAGGACTTATTAAAACCCTGCCTCAAAATAAGAAAAACAGGGCGGGGGATTTAGCTCAGAGGTTCGGTGGCCTGCCTTGCAAGCGCAAGGACCCGAGTTCGATCCCCGGTACCAAAAAACAAAACAAAAAACAAAAAACCCACAAAAACAAAACAAACAACAACAACAACAAAAGAAATACAAAAAAGGGCTAGGGATAAGCTCAATGCGAAGGTCCTGAGTTCAATTCCAAGTACCATAAAACAAAACAAACAACTCAGAGAACATTTATGGGAGGAGCTGACACCACCTGGTCACATCTGGTGCGAAATCAGCTCCTCCAGCAATGATTCATTCTAAGGAAACAAGGCCCAGTTACCACAAACAAACTGCTAATATACTAGCGTTTCTATTGTCTAGTCTTGAAAGTATGAATGGACAGATAACATACCTCACATTACGTTAGCAGTACAGAATGGAACCCAGGGCCTGTGCACACTAGGCAGGCACTCCCACTGAGCCGTTTCCCTAGTCATTCTTTTATACCACTGAAACAGGGTCTCACTAAGTTGCCCAAACTTGCAATCAGCCTGCCTCAGCCTTCTGAGGGTGGGATCAGAGGAGTATACCACCATACCAGTCATAAATTATTTCTTAAATTAGGAAATGGCTTACTTTACAACAGACTCAAAAGTATTATTTTATAAAAATGATAAACAAAACCATACCCAACGTGAAGGATCACTGATCAAATTAATAAACTGTGCTGATAACTTGGTCCGTCGGATTTCTTGACATGTTGCACACGAGACTGCCATGAAGCACTCAGCACACGCTTTACGGACTCCCCACACGTTGTCGGAACAAAGCTGGAAAAACCTGGGCAGCTATGTCAGAGAAGGTTTTGTTAGTCACAGACAGGACTCCGCAGCAACTTCACTTTCATTTCTTGTTTCCAAATCTTTTAAACAATGGGTTTTCTTAAGTAGGAAATTATTTAATAATATTATTTGGTAATTTTTAATAAATCATATCTAACTCACAACTGACTATACAAACACAAAAGCATTCCCAACAAATGGAGCTTTATGTTACCCAACAGCCTGTATGCACCTGACGTGTCTGCAGACATCTGCAAACACTCCTAAGGGTGTGAACTGAGAGCATCAAGCATGTATGTCCATGTGCTACCACTTAAAACTAACCAGCTGTAGATTTAATGAGCCACCAAAAACTTGAGGGTTGCAATAAAATTAAAGGTTCAATTGAAAAAGTTACAGCTGATTTACTTAATAGAAATGATAAACAATCCTGTGCTTCACAAACTGTCCTTAGTAAAGCACAACTCAAGTACCCAGGTTACTGAAATTTAAACTTCTAAACTCAAAGTTATTATCATTTTCTGGTTTAAATTCATGGAACCGTGCTGGTAGTTTTGGGGTACACACATTTTGGGCTTCCTGCACTACTCTGTAACACACTGCTTACTCTTCTGCACCTGCTGTACTTACCAACATCTCCTCAGTAGCTTGCTGGCCAACGACACTGCAAATATCCCCAAAATTGGCGGCACAGACCTGACAACAAAAGCATCACTGGCATATTACACACATGGAGTTCTCTTAAGAATAATCTATTAAATTCCACACACCAGTCATTACCCATCAGAACTGCACGGTCTTAAATGGAAGGACAATGACTCTCATAATACCTTCCGAACATGGAACATTCTGCAATCGCAGCACATTTCACAAAACCGCGGGAGGATAAGACGTTCCGTGATGTCCTTCCCAACCATGGGTGCCATCTTGCACATTATCTAAAACAGGGAAAGGAGCATCGCAAATACCTTTAAGGCTTTCTCATTACAATAACTCAAATACACACCACAATGTGGCATTGTTGCACTGCATGCATCAGAGAAAGCACCCAGGGCCAATTAAAGCTTCTATCACATTCCAAGAAGAAACAGAAAAATAGCTATTAAGTACTATCAGTAAAATTAACCAATAAATACTAAAAATATAAAGCACACAGAAAATCCTAAAAAATTCATTTCAGTACACATTATTTAACCATCATTATTTAATTCTGCTGGTAACTTTACAAGTCAGCAATAGCAAAACTCTACATTCTCCTTGTAAAAGAACACACAGTGACTGTTGCAAAGATTCTGCCAGAGGATCTGGGTTGAGCATCCCAGTGCTGCTGAGCACATTTCACACACTGGCAGCCCTGCCCCGCAAAGCAGGGAGTCAAGTCAGACTGTGACCCGGTCCTGCCAAGTGTCAGTTCCAGGAAGGCCAGGACACAGCTCTACCCAAGCAGAGGAGGATTAACTTTACAGGGAGCTACATTACCCACCCTCTTTATATAGAGAGAATTACAGGGCCAGGGGTTTAGCTCAGTGGTGCCTCCGCCTGCCTCGCAAGGTCAAGGACCAGAGTTCAATCCCAGATACCAAAAATAAAAATAAAAAATAAAAATAAATTGAACCTGATTAAAAAAAAAAAAAAAACTACAAGTGCTGGACAGTCTTGTATTAGAAAGTTTTGTTAATTTTAAATCTCATCAAAAGTTACAATTCAGAAAAGTTGAATTCTGCTTAATACATAGAACCAACAATTATGCCCACTGTGATTTCCTTTCCTGAGGAATTTCTTCTAAAAATGTTCTGAATTTAGGTAGATGCAGCCACTGATTGAACTACATAGTTTTAAGATGACTAACTTTATGTTACATAAATTTTACTTCAATAAAAATATCCTGAGGTAGGGATGGTGGCGTATGCCCTGTAATCCCGGCACTTGGGTGGCTGAGGCAGGAGTATCGCTGTGAGTTCAAGGCCAGCCTGGGCTATGCAGTGAGTTCAAGGCTATCCTGAACTACATAAACCCTGTCTCAAAAATCTAACAAACAAAAAACAAACACACAAAATCATTGAGAAAAAAAACAAACAAAAAACCAACTACATTTAACTGGTAACTATCTAAAAATAAAAATTAAAAAAAAAATTTCAGGGGAAAGAAACTAGAGGTACTGTCTAATTTATCTATTATTGATGATCAAGAACCACCATAACATTTGAGTGGCCATTTTTTTTTATAGCAACAATGATGCAATTACATTACTTTAAGTATAAAGGGTGAACGCTCACTATCCAAACAAATTTGAATAAATTTTCAGATCGATTTATCACTTTCCTAATTTACTAACAGAATTCTTAATAACTGAACTGAATCATAATAGCTACTATTAAATTCTAACTCATGTCCTATGTATTACGACCGTTGAACACTTAAAATACTTGCTAACCATGTTAAACAAAACAAAACACCTTGACTTTATTATGTGCACAATGGCTTCATAATCTGCATATTTGTCTAATAATGGCCACTAATTACTTGAGTGACTGTTCTTTTCTCAAACACTGCACTCTAAGGGCAGAAGCCAAGCCCTGTGTCTTGCACTTCCATTGTCCTTATGCAGTGTCTAGAAAAACACTCGGCAGCAAGTGAAGGTGTTCAAATGTTGCTGGTGAGTGCCACTGGTAATAACCACCTCATATTTCCATTTTAACAAAATAATGCATTTACAGTTCCTTATTACTGTCTCACTGTGGGAAGATCAGCTTTTCCCTCATAAGCCCTGGTGTCCCTTCTAAGCTCTGCTGTATTTCAGATTTAACAATTCGTGGCCACCTTAGAAGGGTGTGTTACATGAGACAGGCCCCCTCACACATGATGAGTGCTCTCTGCCTGCTGGAACTGCATGGAAAACGCTGTCCTACTTACGGCCACGGCCTCTGTCTTCACATCGTCGTTGCTGTCGGGTGCAGTCAGCTCTATGAGGACGGGGCACACTTTGGTCTCCACATCAAAGCGCTCGATCAGCTCCTGCTCCAGCAAAGCCAGTAAAGCTGCTTGGCTTGTTTTCCTCACCTAGGGCGGAAAAACAATATAAACAAAAGACAAGTGTGCCTGATATAAAACTATCGCTTATTTGTACAAATTTGAAGACTGCTCTTCTCAATTTAGAGGAATTCAAAACTTGTTAAAACCTTGCATATAAATATTTGTGGCTTTTTTCCACTGTTACAAAGTAACAGTCTTTAAACTGGGTAGAGCATTGTGAGAGGTGAAGTGGAACACAAAAGCCACCCTTGTAAGGATGTCTCTCTCACAAAGTAACATTTCCAGGGATACCTAAGAGATGCCAAGTCAGAGTGCAGTGACCAAGGCTGCCCACCATGGTGGGAAAGGGACCTAATCTGTCAGATGCTCAGCACATCTACAACAGAGAGAAAAGTAACCACATAAGATGGCTCAGTCTAGGCCACTCGTCAGGAACAGAGCACCCTCACCTGGTTGTTCTGATCTGCCAGATACCGCACCACGACAGGCAGCAGGTACTTGGAGAAGGCGCAGGGGATGGAAGGCCGGCTCTCCTGGCAGAACAGCGCGAGGTGAGGCACCTGCTCCATCAATTCTGCGCGCACTGTGGGCTCTGGGGAGATGGCAGCGACGTGAGTGGATGAGTCCTCACACAGCAGCGGGCCCTCATCTGGGCAGCCCAAGCCCTGCTCAGCAGAGTGCACTCCAGTCCCACTGTCTCTGCACAGCTACCCAAGAGGCAACTCAGGAGGGCAGGGAGGAGCTGACACCATCGGAGCCTCTGTCACTTGCCTTCCTAGCATGAACACGTCTTACCCCATTATTTACACAGACAATGAGATAGGAACTATTTAAAACCTCCTAGGACAAGATGTGAGGACTGGTGACAACCCCAACGGAGTCCATCCAGACGTACAACCAGACTTGACTAAGACTAAAAAAGACAATGAATATTAAAGGAGACAAACAGATTTTTAAAAATAATAAATAATGATGGAAAGACCCAAGCGCAGATGGCAGATTTACTTGTGAGAAACATGGCATTTCAGATCTCTGAATTACAAAAGGATCAACTGGCCTGATAGTGAGACAAAAATTAGCTAGTTATGTGAGGGGAGAGTGAAGTGTCTACTGCCAACCTTCCATCAATTCCAATGAAACAAAGTTTCAAACTTAAAATCCTCAAAGCACTGAAAGATACTTTTAGCAGAGATGTTCAACTTGGACTTGAGAAGACAAAAACAAAATAGCCACCGGTTTCATTTTATAAAAACTTCACTACAGTTAACAGATACCATACTAGTTAAAAGGCCAAACAGCCACGAAGAAAAAAAATCTGCATAGCAAAGTATAAAGTCAATTATACAAAGAGCTCACTGCTCAAATATAGGAAAGAAAAAGATTAAATAGGCAACTTGCAGAAGACAGACAGACAGACAGACACACACACACACACACACACACACACACACACACACACACTATTTATTAGCAGCAAGTCATTTCACCAGGACTGCATTATTAAAGTTAGGTAAGTATGCATGAATGTGTTCAATGTAATTTCACATCTCAACAAACAAATTAATATGGCTACCAATAAAAACACACTGAGCCGGGTGTGGTGGCTCACGCCTCTAATCCCAGCACTCGAGAGGCTGAGGCAAAAGGATCCATGAGAGTGAGTTTGAGGCCAGCCTGGGCTACATAGTGAGACTCTGTCTCCAAACAAACAAACAAACCGACACACACAAAAACCACAACACACTAACATTTTACAAAGTTAAGGATCTTAGCATTTGGAATTTGTACTAAGTTGCGGCATGTGAAACATGTGAAGTAAGAGGCAGTACTAACTTCTGGTTTTGAAGAATAAAAACGTTAATTTGAAAACAGACATATAGATCGAATTTTTTCTCAATGATCCTGAATTTGCTAAGTTAACACTCATTTAATTACTTCCATGTATTTTTTGAAGCAAAAAGAGCACACAAATTGCAGTTTCAATTAAGAATGAAGCCAACAACATTTGTTCAAACTTATGTTTAGAATCAGATGTAGTGGCACACATCTGTAATCCCAGCACTCTGGGAGACTGAGGCAGGAGGATCACAAGTTTGAGCCCAGCCAGGGTAACTTAACAGTGACTCAGCGAAACCCTGTCTTGAAATATTTTTAAAAAGAGCTAGGAACACAGCTCAGTGTGAAGGCCATAGGTTCAACCTCTAATACCATAAAAAGGCTCTACTTCAGCAAAAACACCAGTGGAACAGGAGCAGAGTCCAGAGACAAAGCGTACACATCTAGACAAGTGAGCTGTTCCAGGAGGGAAAGGCAAAGGTGGCTTTCACACAAATGGTGCTGTGGTGACTGGCTATCCATATTTAAAAAGAGAATGACAACGTGAAATAGGGAGAAAGGGGCTAAAGGTGTAGGCAAAGTGGGAAGGGAGGGGAAAGCGAATAAGGGGAAAAAATATGAGAAAATGAAAAAATGGAAATGAAGTGTTTGTAAAGGGGGAGGGGAGGAGGGTGAAGGGAGGGCAGGGACAAGGGAAAAATGAGAACCAAGACCTGTACAAGATCCCAACAATGAATGTAACTGTACTGTATCCCTAAAATGTACCAATAAAATCAATGAGGAAAAAATAAAAAGAGAACGAAATGTTTCTCCTACTTTATATAACACATGACAAATTCTAGCAGCCTCATATTATATATAATGTACACAACTTTTGTCAATTTAATAAAAAAGAATTCCAGGTGGAACACAGACTTTAGTAAGAGCAGAGGCAAAAACAATGACACTTCTAGATTCAATAATACATGAAAAAAAATTCATGACTCTGAGGTAGGGAAAATTTCCTTGAGGAGGACACAAAGCACTATGCACAAAAGAAAAGAACTTTATGCAGCATCACCATGAGAGTGAAAAGCCAAGCCAGAGTGGAAAAGGCATGTACAGCACACATAACTGACACACATCAGAAGGAAAAGAAATCCCACACAGGAAACAACCCCGCTAGTTTAAAAGAGAGGGACAGGCTCTACAGACACAGCCAAAAGAAGATACTGTGTACATAAGCAGACGCTCAACCTCACTGGTCACTAAGGCAAGGGAAGTTAAACCACAGTGCAATGCCAACACACACTCACCCACTCTCCTGTGACAAATTAAAAAGTGTGTGAAATAGCTGGTGGAACTGCAGAGTGCTACACTACATACTTCAGAAAAGCTGGCGGCATGTCTGTTAAGGCAGAATCTATGCACAGGTAGGGCCCAGTCACTCCACTTCCTGGTATAAAACCATGGGATGAGTGCCCCTTAGCGCACAGCAGCCCCGGTACCTAAGTTGAAAGCCCCTCACAGAACAGTGGGTGGCTCTGTGGTGGCGCTCCCTAACAGGTTACTGGGGAAAAAAGAAAAGAAATTCAATAAATCGTCATATGCAACAACACGGTTAACTTCACAAATACAAAGAAACAAGAAATAAAGAATAGCTTAAGTTTGAGTCCATAGAGAGTTTAGACAGGCAACCTAATCTGTATTTTAAGTGGTCAAATGCAGCTTCCCTCTGGGGCAGAGGAAGGGGGGAGAAGTCAGGAGGAGCCCTGAAATGACTGCTGGGCTGTTAGTTCTATTTTTTTACCTGCACACCAATTACAGGAACTTACCTTCACTTTGAGAAATTTCACCAGGCTGTTAAAATTATAGTTCATAGTGAGTCTTAACTTCCTTTCTTCCTGTCTGTCTATCTATCTGGTATCTATCTATCTATCATTAGGAATCAAACTCAGGGTTGAGTGCTTGCCAGGCAGGCCCTGCACTGCTGAGCTACATCCCTGGCCTGAATTATACTCAATGTTAAAAAAACAAAAAACTCCTTCTAATATGTTATTTCTGAAGCCCCAGGCACATACTTGCAACTGGTTTGGGTTCCAGATTTACACATCCAAGCACAGTTGAGAACTTCCTGTCCCTACATACCCAGTGACAGTGCATCACCACATATGCACAACCCAGTCAGCATAAAGTGACTCCTGCTTCCTAACAGCCCTGCACCAAGTATCAACTCCTGTGAAGACCCACTAATGAGGAACTCACAAATCCAACAACAAAAACAGAATGATTCTAATACCATGCACTCCTAAAAATGAAAAAAAAAAAAAATGGAGTTAACAGCAATATAAAATTCAACAGTCAGAATACAAGTCAGTTTCTAGTAGCAGATACCTTGCTGACAGAAATTACTAAAATGCAGATGGGGGGGAGCTTGAAAAAAAAAGTTAAAGCCATGAAAAATATAGTACATTTTCCTAATAAAAAAGTTCTACATCCTCCACCATATGAAAAAAACTTACTCAAACAAAAACAAAAAAGATTTTAAGATGGAGGAGAGACAATATTCTGATGGAAAAAACAAGAATCCTCAAATTCAAGCTGAATACAATAAACTTGTACCTACACATACCACAATGAAGCTGCAGAACAGCAAGGAAAGGGGATTTTAAAAGCAAGAAGAAGGAAGAAACAAGAACACCCACCGTCGCAGTTTATACCTAGACATCTTCCACGTCCCCCCAGGGCCTCACACACTCATGGCAGGGCTTGTGCATGGTGACTAGATTACAGGGACGCTACAGCTGGCCTGGTGTCAGGTAGGGGCCTGGTTCCAAGAGGTCAGTGACTCTGGGATGTGTCCTGGAAGGGAGACTCTCTCCTGGGCTCCTCTTCTCTGCTTCCTGGCTGCCACCAAGCGAGCAGCTTTCCTCTCCCTACGCCCTTCCACCAAGCCTTCCTGCCTTGAAGATGGCCAACTAGAGGCTAAAATACGTGAGCCGAAATAAACCAATCCTTTAAGTTGTGAGTGTCAGGTATTTTTTCTCAGGGAGGATGAAAGTGACTAAGATACCTACAGAGACACAAAATGAGACTAGCCAATTTCTCAGTAGCAACAACAGTAAAAGGAAATGAAATATCATTAAGACTACCAGCCAGATTTCTACAACAGCCACCACCTTATTTCGGCATTGCTATCAGCCTGGTCTGTACAACCCTCCCGATTCTAACTACTGAGGCAGCTCTCTGGAATCTCCTCCCACACTTCTTCTGTTTTTCTCAAAGAACTCATAACAATCAGTAGGATCTCCCAATTAGTCTTCTTATTACCCATCTTTTTCATTAAGTCAGTTTTTCAGATCACAAAAACGTCTCTCGCATGGCATACCATAACTCTTTACAATCCAGCCCTCACCTGCCTCATTCCCCTGGAGACTTGCAGACTCCTTGCTGACCAAGGGCCAGCACCCTGACCCTCCCACTTCTAAGCCCTGGTGTCCTTCCCTCCAATGAACATGCCTCTCCCCACTCTGCATCTCATCACACCTCCAGATCCAAAAAGCTGTCGCATAACTAAAGTGTTATTTAACTTATGCTGAAAAATGTAAGTAAAACTTGTATTTGATGAGACCCTCCTGAAACTATTCGAGAACACAAAATACAAGGGCACGTACATATACAAAGATAATAAGCTTCCAAATGTTCCTTCTGCCCTGTAAGAAAAATTTTTAAATCTAAGGACTCTGTAGTTAACCTAGTCCAACACAGTAAACTGCTTACCAGAGAATGAGATCATCTAAAAATTAAAAGATGAGACTTGGTGACACATCGAAAGGTTTGTTGGAGACTGAAAATGTTTAATAAAAAGGCAACAGATTCAGGAAAACGGGTTCTGCAACTTATTATTGGATTGTTTGTAAAATCAAGTAGTATCCAAAATATGCTTAAACTATTGGCTGAAGTGTTTTTAGGTAATATATATTTTACAATAAAAAAGTTTAAAAAACATTATCACCATTTTCTAAGGCTCGAATCAAGCTTACTTCTTAATCAGATTCTCCAACCTCTGGTTTACTGACATCCAGCTTTAGTTTTATAAATGGATGTCAACAGTTTTGCAATCAAGAAGCCATACAGAACAAGAGCATTTTATATTTACCGAAAACACTAAAGCCCCATCTCTTTTACTCTACATTATTTTTATAATTTCTATTAATCCTAAAATATAGTGTGAATATACATGATGAAAAATAATGTTCTCAGACTTAACTGCTAAGAAATTAAACTAAGCCTACTACAAACTGTTCGGGTCTTGATAACAGGATTTTTGTGTTTGCTTCTTGTTACTAGTCAGTTTGATAATTTACTTAGGAAATCTTTTATCATATTAGCTTTTCTGATAGTTTCAGAAACACAAATTTGGTTCCAGAAACAGTAAATTCATTCTTTCTGAACAAACATGTACCTGAATCATCAGCTAATCTGCTAATTCTTTCCAGAACAGCAACACAATCTCTTTCATCATCACAGACTTCCCTCAATGTATCCAGCAAACTCCGAGCCACCATTTGTCTGCACATAAAAAGAAAATTAATTCAGTGGCATCAATAGTTACAGTCAGAATTTAAAAAAGATAGAATCCATATGGATTTTAAAGACTCTTTTTCTTATAAAATATATTAAACTGTAATTTTCTGAGCAACAAATGGTAGTATTGATTTAATAGATGAGATTAAGTATAACTTTATCAAGCTGATTTGGCAAATTTCTGAAGTCACTGAAAATTTACTTCAAAGAGTCATCCTTCAACTATCATAATGGGAAGATAAATTCATTTTTTATTTTATAAAAGGTTTTCTTTACTAGTATGAGTTTTGTAGAACTAAAATAAAAAAATTTAAACAGACTTTGATTTCCCAGAAGGTCTGATATAGCTGGAGACCACAGCTGGAGAAACTAGTTTAGGAGTACTAGAGCTTAGTCCTTCCCATGGCACTGTGATCCAAGCACATGATATACCTACTTCAAGCTGGGTGATTTTATTTTCCCTGTTGAAATTAACCAAACCACCCATCCACTTCCACATTAATGAAAAGATTATGTACAAACCTGTTAAACACGTTCTCACTCGCAGCATACTTGTCCAATCTTCCCAGTGGCGTCAACATTTCATCTTGAGAGACAAAGTCCAGGGCTGAAGGCATAATAATCACATCAGACTCTGAGCTGTAGTCATCCACACCAACTATCAGAGACATCAGAAACACTCCTTATAACACTCTGAAACTCAAATGTGCCCTTTGCCTGTCTGACGAAGCATAAGTATGTTTCTGGAGTAGAACAAAGAAATGCAAGAGAATCTTACATTCAATCCAGAAGCCATGACTGCTCAAGACCACTTTCTCTCCCATACCTGCAGATATGCTCCAATAACATCTAGAAGCATAAGGGTAGAAGCCAAGGAAACTCAGAATGATGAGAACACTGACCACAGTTTAGAATTTACAATGCTAAATCAGAACACTGACAACTTGTGAATATATAAAAGTCAAACACTGACAGTTGATTTTGCAAAGTAGAAGATAAAGCTAATCAATGTATCTGACTTCATTTACTAGAAGAAAGCTAAAGACCATTAGGACAGTTATAGTTATACACATTAATCAAATATTTATTAAATACATTTGTGCTAAGTACTAAGCTAGATGTTGGGGAAATTACTATGAAAATACTAATTGTTCCGCCTTCCAAGAACTAACATTCCATTGAGAAAACAATCCACTTTAAAATGACAATTGTAATAAAGGCATGTACAAACTGCAAGGCCAGAAAGCTGATTAAGTTTCAAGATGAGGAATGGAAGCCCAAGCAAAAATGGCTAAAAACTAACCCAATGATAATGATTTGAAAGGAACTAAGCAAGCAGAGTCTGAAGGTAGGATTAAACAGCATCCACTGCCTGCTGAAAGGGGCAAGCAGGACCTGAAGATGCCCAATGAATGAAGTAATTCATGCCATGCTGGATGGAGCCCAGGTCATCTAACAAGGGCAATTTTCCTTGGTAGGAGAACTAAAAACCAATGACTGAAGGAAGGAAGTGAAGAAAATCAGTGCAAGACATTGCAGCTATGTAAGGTTCCACTCAGTTACATTACTAACACACATGATGTGATATGAAGATGTTTTGTTTGTTTCGAAGAAGAAAAAGATTTTAAACACTGTTACATGTATAATGAAAATAAAGTCAACAAAGAATTATAAGTTGAAATTCCAGAAATAGAGACTAGAACTGATGAAAAAATTATGAGGTTGGAGAAGATGGAAATCAGAGCTCAGGTAGATGTCTAAGACTTAAACAATTCTTTTTTTTGGTACTGGGGATCGATCTCAGGCCCTTGCAGTTGTGAGGCAGGCAGCAGAACCAAATCCCCAGCCCTAGGACTTAAACCCTTCTTAAATAGTGAAGGGCTTTCCTCAAACCTAGGAGCTTCCAAAGCTTTTTATTTCCTGATACTTCTGATCCTAGCTTGATTTACTTTTCTCCATTAGCACCTGTCACCACCTCATGTCTATTAAAGCTGTTGTCTTTATTTATTGTCTACTGCTCTACATCAAAACGGTGTTACAGGGACAGAAATTTTCTTTGTCTGAAGGAATATCTCCTGGCACAAAGTAAGCATGTAAATATTTTTTGAAACAAATAAATCTGTTCATCACCCACAATAACAGAGTTTATCTTTGATCCAGTTTTTGCTTATGAGAAAAAAAAAACATAAGAAACTCTTCTCAGATGCTGCTATACAAAAAAGAAAAATAAAACAACAACAACAATAAAACTCCCATAATTTTCCAATCAAAGACCCAGTGCAGTTGCCTTGATGGTGTTTAAAATTCCTACTTTATTTTTTTGGTACTAGGGATTAAACTCAGGACCTTGCACTTGAGAGACAGGCAGCAGTACCCCTGAGCTAAATCCATGGCCCAAAAAATCCTATTTTAAAAAGAAATGAACATGGAGCACAGGCCCATGTTGCAGAAGTATTCTGAACAAAAGAAAGTAACTTTTGCTCCCAACAGAACACCATCAGGGCTACTTTTAATGACTTTAACTTGCTAAAATAAAAATAACTTCTGTATTAAAAAACCAAAACTTGGACCGGGGATTTAGTTCAGTGGTTCTACCGCCTGCCTCATAAGCACAAGTACCAGAGTTTGATCCCTGGTACAATAAATAAATTAATACCCCTGGTACAATAAATAAATAAATACATACATACATACAAACAAAAAAAACCCCACCTAAACATGATTGTTCTTCCACTTCTGACAAACATGGAGTGTCAAGGACTAAATTTACCCTCCTACTTTAATGGTTAAAAAAGCAAAAAAAGGACAAATATAAGAATGAATGGTCTCAGACAGAAGAGGAAAGAAAATGTTCAGGCCACAGCAGTGGCAGGAACCCCAAATGTCCCAGCGAAGCCTGCAGGACAGAGTGCAGAGCAGAATGTGTCACAGGGCTGCACAAGTGCCCTGCAGCTAGGAAGCCGGAAGACAGACTCTGCAGACATGCAAAGCAGAGGTTGTCAACAGCAGGCACACACTATAAGAAATACCAAAGCTCTAAAATCAAAAGGAAAACTATTCTAGACAGAAATCTGGATCTACACGAAGGTATGAAGGGTATCTAAAACAATAGTTAAGTAAATAAAAAGGCTTTTATTTTAGAAATGGCTTTAAAAGGTAATTGTTTAAGGCAGAAATATGCACTTAAAAAGATAAAAGCTTATTGTGAAGTTTATGACATGTAGAAGTAAAATGCATGACTGACTACAAGCACAATGCAACAAAAGGGTAAGGCATGTGCTCTAAGTTTTCTTACACTGTGTGGAGGGAGACGTCTTACACACAGGTGGACTACGGTGAATCAGAGATGCACACCAATGATAAACTCTAAACCAGCCAGGTCAATAAAGGCCATAAATACTTGGTCCAAAAGAAGAGAGAAAAAGAGGATAAAGGGAAGGAGGAAAAAACGGAAGACTGAAAAGAAATTACAATAAGAGATAAACTCAACTATCATTAAGTATATTAAATACAAATGGTATAAAAATTCCAAATTTAAGAGCCAGGGGGATGTGGCTCAGTGGTGCCTTGCCTGCCTGCCAAGTGCAAGGCCCTACACAAGATCCTGAGTTTGATCCTCAGTACCAGGGAAGAAAAAAAATCCCAGTTAAAATGCAGAGATTGTCAGACTGGATTAAAAATAACACCTACCATGTACCACCTACATGGTACAGAAAAAATTTACACTTCTGATTACGATTCATGGCAAAGTACCTTGTTCATCATGAATCAGAGAGCTGTAAGAGCACCTAGACAACCTCATTTGGGCCATTTCCTCTCTTGTAATAACCACAAGGCACCTTTATGCAAGCTTTGGAACCTGGACTGTTTCATCAGTCTCCCATGTGCTAACCCTAAGATACACGAAAATGACACTGGTTCTGGACCACAGAAAGCAGTGGGGAAGACTGCTGCAGTGATGACTGTCGAACACCACTGTGTCTAGGACAAGCTGGAGCACATACCCACACGCAGATGGTGGGATCCCACTCACTGAGCATTGCCAGGGTTCAGAATTAGTGAGGCACAGGAACATTTGTTTTTAACAAATACCCCCACCAGTTCCAATGCAGACTATTCAACAACCTTACCATTTATTAAACAAACAAACGAACACAACAGCAAAGATCACAATGTCTCCTCCCAGGCAGAAGACCATTCTGTCCTCACAGAGCCCTTGACAGAACCTACACCTTGCTCCCTAATATTCTTTTTTGGGGTCCCATCATGCAGTTGTCACTGAGCCTGACCCTTGCCAAGAACAGATCCTGCTGGTTACACTTGCATCAATACAAGCTATGCCCCTTTCTTGCCCAAATATGTCCTGATGTACTACAAATTCTAATGTCAGGTTCATTCAATAAAAATTTTGAATTTTAAACCTCACAGTTCTCTCAGAAGATAGCCCACTTCTCAATTTGAGGTTCCCAAAATCTTCTGGGTGTGGTGGCACATGCTTATAATCCCAGTAGTCAGGTGGCTGAGGCAGTTATATGAATTTAAGGCCAGCTTGAACTATACAGCCAGACTACAATATATAGTCTTTTTTTAAAAAAGGACCCAGAACTGCCCTCAACAAATCAGCCTCCAACCCTTCCTATCACACATGCACTAAATGTACCTGGGCGGGAGACAGCAATGCAGCAACCAGGAGGACAGCAGCAGGAGAGAGCAGTCTGAAGACAGTCTTGACCCCACCCACAAGTGACCAGACCTTAGCTCAGAAGCAAGAGGAAATGTTGATCCTTTACTGGTCTGTCCCCACGTTTCCCATCTTACAGTCACTGTCTGAAGACATATTTCTCCAAGAACATGGGCCTTAACTACCAACCACATCATCCAGGACTCAACTACAGAAACAACGCTCCAATGGGGAAGGGAGACAGGTGTGCAACTTGTGAATCACCTCATGTACTGTACTTATGAGCAAGAGGAAGCACATGGTTTCTTTCCTTTCATATAAGCTCTAGAACCCATGCTTGCTAGTCCCTTAAATGACACTTTTCATCAAACCTATTGGTGTTCTCTTGGTAGTCTTCATCTCCTCAATACTTTATTGCTCTCTAGCCTGCCCCATTTCTGTTTTACTCTGTGGCTCTCTTCTCAAATATAAGCAATAATTTGCCAAAATTAGGAAGCTCTTCTCAGACCTACTGTCTCACTTCTCTAGCATTTTACAATGCTCACACCCTCTTCTTTAAATTCTATTCTTAGATTTTTGGAAATGCACAATCCTGAGTCTTTACCTATCTTTTGCAACTATTCTTGTTTCTTTTTGATCCTTTTTAAGTAAGTCTGTAAAGAGGTACTTTCCCGATACCTTTGTTCTCACATGCATAGTACACACACGTGTACACACATGCATGTGCGCAAAGCTATGGTTGAATGTGTTGTTAGCAAGTGGGACCTAAGAAAAGGTGTTTGGGTCATGGGGCACTGCTCTCAGGAATGGATTGAGGCTGTCATATCCTACAGTTTGGGAATGGTTCCTTATAAAAGGATGGGTTCAGCACCGCACCCCCCGTCCTTTTTTACCCTTCTGCCATGGGACAAAGAATAAGAGGCCCTTTCCTGATGCAGCCTCTTCAATGTCCAGCCTTCAGAACCACAAGCCCATGAGTCAATAATCTTTCTTCTGCTCCTTCTAAGTTATGCAGCCTATATTCTTACAGCAGAACAAAATAGACTGACACAAACACAGCAGACACTTTGCAGAGGATCTCTAGCTCCTGTTATCTGATCCCTATGTGCACATCCTTCACAGAGCTGCTACCTTAATGTCACATTTGCTATGAAAATTACGCTGTCCATGCTACTCTTACAAGACTAGCTCTCCCTCATGCTGCTCCAATTACCATCATTCACCTTCAGGTCACCAGATGTGAGATTTGCAGTGAGTTTTTATCCTCACCTTTCTTTCCTGTCCTGAGACCTGATCTGCTGCTAATATAATACACTGTTAGCGGTCTCCTTTCACTTCTGGGCACTCTCATTTGGAAATGCTGGTGGGTTTCTACTCAGAGTACTGTACCCCAAAAGCTTCTACGTGAAGGCTTTATTGGGGGTAAATCAGAATGGATAACTCTGGGGGCTTTCTAGATCCCACTTGTGGAATGTGGGACCTCAGGCTTTCCCTTTCAGCAGTCTCCCCTCTACTGAAGAGGCAGAGCAGGAAAGCCTTCCATGCTAAAAAGGCACCATTCGAATTACTGATGAAAATGTTAGGAGATAATGCTCCAAAGGCTGTAATAAATACTTTTACATGTCAAGTGGTTTACAATCTTTTGTTTTGAAAAAGAAATGCAGACTAAAGCTCATTACAAATATATTTTAAAAAATTTTTATAATTGGGTTGGAAGAAGTTCAAAATAACACTTTTTACTCCCATTGAGTTTACGTCCACAGATTTTCTAAGTGCTCATAACTCTTAAAATGTAAAGTTAGAATTGATGCCAAACAATAAACTAT